ATAATGGAAATGTTCTACATGTGCACTGTCCCACAGATGTCTTCTAGCCACAAGGGGCATCTGAGCATTTGAAATGTGGTTAAAGTACAGAACAACTGAATTTTTAGTGTTATTTAATTTTAATTAACCCAAATCTAAATTGCTACATGAGACTTGTGGCTGTCATATTAGACACTGCAACTCCAGATTATAAATGACTCTTAGAAGTGGTTGGCATGAACCTATTCTCAAGCAACAATTTCTAAATGAACTTAAAAAATCCAGCTCCTATTTAAACTTGAGGTCTGGACCGTGGACCCACAGTGACTCCACACAGGCACTCTGTGGTTCAGCCTGAAACACCACCACACCTTACCACATCTTCCCTGCAACAGTGTTCACCTCTATATTCTACTCAACAACATTCCCATACCTATCTGTGTCACACAGACCCAAAGCATTTTTCATCTAATCGTTCCTTTCTCTTTGCCTCCCCTTAATCAAATTGACAGAAACTGAAGCACATTCCAAAGGCATCAAGCAGAGCTGCTAAAATGAAAAGCAGACAGTGGAGAAGCATGTTTTTGTACTAACCTTTCATGTCTAAAGACATGGATTCAAATATAAATCAAACACTAAAGCTTGGTAGTCACATCCAAAATCCCAGGTGGATATGCATTCTAGTCATAAAACTCTGACAATATGACAGGCTAAAAAACAGAGCAGATGGGACAATGGGTAAATTTGTTCAAGTAAGGCCCACAACCACTAAAAGCCTGGGTCATGGACAATGAAAGTTTAATAAATGCTCCAGAAGTCTGGTCTTTTATTATTTTCACAAATGAATTCAAACGGAAAGACACCGTATTACTAAAAATTAATTAGGGAAACTCAGAAATGGGAAAAAGAAGAAAATGGGGCAGGGGGTGGGAGGGTGATAGTTTATTTAAATATATTCATTTCTTTCTGTTCCCTACTAGAAGTCTAAAAAATTCAAGTTACAAAAAATAAGAATTAAATTAAGGAAAGTGGTTTTGCTTCCTTTTTTCATACTCATTTTTCCTTAAAGCAAAATTAGGCATGTTCACAAAATCATGTAAAATCATGAGAAAAGGTTAATTCCGCTAAACTCATTCTGAAAGGACTGGACTTTTAAAAATTGTCAAACTTGAAAAGCAGGTTTTTAAACTTCAGCTATTCATACTGTAGTCGGAATTCAACTGTAATAGGTGAGCAATAAATCAGAAGAGGGTTAAGTCCGGCTTGCAGTGGAAGTTCTTTGCTCAATAATTATCTAACACTGTCTTTTCACAGGCCATTAAATAGTTAATCTTCATTTCACAGTCCTGTTGTCCATTATCCCTAGATAACCAAGACTGAAGTAGTTCTATAAGTGACTAAACTTTCTTATCCTGCAGTTTGAAGACTGTTACTATGCTACTTATTTAGGCTCATGGATACCATGCGTAGTAAAAATGTTTTGCTATTATTAAGATTTATGTATATCTTTTTGGTCTTAAGTCAACTGTCTTCTAAAAAATTAGAAACAATCATGGTGAATTCACTGGATGGAAAATAAAAGTGCAACAAGAAATAAACCATACTTAACATTCATAAATTTGAATACTAATTTCTTTTCTTAAAATGGTAGCGTGAGAAATAGAGACATTACATCTACCATCTCTGTTCCTTCTGTACGAAAATGGAAACAGGGAGCATACAAATACTTTCCCATGTTTAAAAGTTTATTATACCTAACACAATTTCAAAATGTTTTGAGAAAGAGAGTGACAATCTAACCGAACAATTTTTTACAACGTGTAATCAGAAAAAGAGAGAGTGAAAGACAGCAGGCACTACTGTGGCACAACTCTAAGAACAATTTAAGCATCTAAGCATAATTTTAAGAATGTAAGTATAATAATAATAAATTTAGTCAAAATAATTCTAAGTTAAGGATGTAATTTTAAGAATGTAAGTACCAAAGTATACTCCCTCTGGTAAGTTAGTAAATTAACTAATTTACTTTCCTTACTCTCTTACTCCCTAGTAAGAGAGTAAATTAAGACCATAGAAGTATCAAAATATATTTTCTCAAGTATAAGGCAAGACCATGTTTTAGGTGAGGAAGAGTTGTTTTTCAGAAACTCTGTCTAAAAATGTAAGAAGCAAGCACTAATCAAACAACAAAATTAAGAGCAAAGCCCCATTATTCACATTAGGCAAGCCCTATGTAACACTTTACCCTAGGCATACATATTGCAGAAAAAAAGGAATGACCTGAAAATAATACATTCAAAGTTGCAAATTAATAACCACGATTTTATTCTCTACTAAGATAATCACTATGAAACCCAGGTAGATAATCTCAATTATTTCCTATATCAGTACTTTTAGAATCAATTAAATATAAAGAGCTACATGAGACCATAAAAGTCATTCGTCCATTCTAAACATCTGATTTTGCAAACTTAAAAATTATTTTCCCCAAGTTAGTAGAATGGCCAAAACTCTGACTCACAGTACACTGCTCTTCCCACTATAATGTGTTTCCAAGTGCCCAACCTTCCAATTTTGTCAAATCTTAAGACATCATTTTAAAAACACATTTCTCTTCGATAGCAGCTGGGATAGATAACAGTTCTGAAACTTCAAAAACCACAAGCAACTGCTATATCAAGAAGAAGGGACTATCGAGTTAGCCCAATACGTCAAGAAATAAAAAGAGCTTCCTTCAAAGAGGGAGCAATTCTTTAACAATGCTACAAACAGGACACCTTTTTCCCCTTTAAAAAAGTAATTACTCATTTTGATGGTTTCTGTTTAGTCTTTGGGGAACACAAGTTAACACTAATGCAAGCTGTCACAGCACAGCAAGCTCAGATGTCTCTACTCCATTCAGAAGTTAAAAGTACAGTTCTATTAGGGATGAAAGGATGTGGAAAGAGCTAGGCTCCAATTATTATCAGGAGGACTCTAAGCTGCTCACTCTCATTAATTTTTATTCCCATTTTACAAACCAATAAAAACTTACCTGAAAACTGCTAACCATTCTGAACAATACAAACAGCACACAAATTTTAATAACTACCTCTTGAAAAAGCAGAATCCACTTGGAATACTCTAATATAAAGAATTTAGACTGGCGATGATTGTTACCAACTAACAAAAACATTAAGAAGACTTCTTTCCTACACCTCACTGAGCTCTGCACATGCTTAGTCATCATTTTTAGAGTTGCTAATGTGCACAAATAACTAAAAGAAAAATATGAACAAGTATTAAGGGTTACTGTTTCAATCATTAAAAAGGTGATCATTATTAAGTCACATCTTTTTTCTATAAAATTCAAAAGATTAAAATGAGAAATCTATACTATTAACGTTGTGCTAAATTAAAAAACCAGAAGTCCAACTGGGACTAATTCCAATGATTATACTCCATACATGAAGCCTGAAAAATGTCAGTTGTTACAAAAATTATTTTTTAAACCTTCCATCAAAAATAATTAGAGAAAAAAATTAGAAACCTGTGAACAGAAGCCTAAATAATGTGTTTAACAGAGAAACAATGTAGTTACATTGTGCAACTATAAAGCTTTATATTTCTTGACTCTGGCCATTCCCCCTCAGACTTAGAATTTCACCTACAATATGAATCATAATGGCTACTCTTAAAAGACAATTTGAGAGCTTTTTTAAAATATTATTTTTTATTCTTTTTTAATTCAACCTTTTTCATATTATAGTGATCCACAGGCTATAAATGAATTGATTCTAATAAAATTTACATTAACTATTCCAGGTTTGTAAAAGGGACAGAGAGTAACTCAAATGAAAGATCATCACTAAGATAAAGTCTTAAAGGCAGACATATGAAAAGCTTGAGACCTTTCCTACATCCCATGTTAGAATGCATACAAAATCTCAGAATGAGTAGAAGAAATGAATCTTAAATTTTATTTAATTATGGATGGGAGAAGTAGACAATAGTATATTGGTCAATACAGTTATCAGGTTGCTACGACATCATTCTTCCTTAAAAGAGCAATACAAAAAGACAAATTGAACTTGACAAAAATTCTATGTTGAAGCACGAAGCCTAGCCAACTCAAGTACTTATTCTTGAAGATTTTTTCTATATGTGAGTAAAGGCAATAAGCTGTTAAAAGCTTAGCATCAAAACTTCCTCCAGACATTAAAGAGGCACTCCTACTAATAAGACTGCAAAAGAAAAGTATATGTTATAATTACAAGAAAGTGTCCTAACCAGGTAACTGCAAAAGGATCCTTAAACAGTATCTAACACACTGCTTTGTGAAAGGAGGTTCACAAAATAAATGACAGTGTTGCAATTTATGCACAGAATAGAGTTTAGTTTTTATATTTCTAAGTGAAAACACTTGATTAAAACAACTTTGAAAGAAAAAGGTAGTAACTTCATCTGCGTACAAAGAAACTTTATACCAGTTAATTGTACAAGTCATCTTCACTTCCAGATGGCATAAGCTTCTCTAGCATGTTACACTTACAACTTTAAGGCTATGTCACCAGAAAAAGTGGGTGGTCATCTTGAAAATGTCACCAACGCTCCACATTTTCAAACCTGACAGATTTCCGGACACAAGATCACGTATTATATGATTCCATTTATATGAAATTTCCAGAACAGGCAAACCCATAGAGATAGTAAGTAGATTAGTAGTTGCCTGGAACTAACTGCAGGGAGGAGGAAATGGGAGTGACTGTTAATGGCGCACGGTTTCTTTCAGGGGTGATGAAAATATACTAAAATTATATAGTGGTGATGATTACACAAGTCTGTAAATTTACTAAACCATCAGACTGTATGCTTTCCAAGGGTGAATTTTATGGTATGTGAATTATATCTCAATAAAACAATTATTTAAACGTTAGATTTAGATTTTTTAAAAATCTGACAGAATTCATAATGTCAAAGTATATATACTACAATAGACATCAGTCAGAGCTTTGCACCTGTTCCAAATGACTTTTTTTTACCTTGGCAAGGCGGCTCATCTGATCTTCTGAGAGAGTGCTACTTGTTCTGCCAGGAGTTTTTGTGGGTTCTGATCCATCTGCTTCTACATTAGGCCAGACTTTCAAGTCATGCATCCCTTGGCGAAACATGCTAGGGAAAAAGACAATGTTCAGGGTAGAAGTAAATTAATACAGTTCATTACAGGAAATTTTAGATTCCTAAAAATAAACAGAATTCTACACATGGAAATGTATATCTCCACTGCCAAGCTTTAAGCCCCCAGTGGAATGTAAAGCAATTAACCAAGCAACTAAAATCCATATCACACTGCTTTGTACATGCCATTCTTTTTTCCTCCAAGCAGTCAGAACTATGACAGAGAATTCTACACATAGAGTGGAAGGAGAAGGATGAGAAATGAGCACACACATTTCATTACTTTGGTGAAGATCTAAGGAATAACAGAGATTAAACTTCTAACCAATTGAAGAATGTCACATTTACAATGACTAAAATCAAAATTTAAATAATTACATAACTGCTTTCTTTAAATATTACAGTAGACTATACAGTCAAACTGCCTGTACTTGAATCACAGCTGTGCTATTACCCACATAACCCTAGGGTAAACTACTTAAACCTCCCTGTACCTCAGTTTCCTCTTTTATAAAATAGGATAAAAGGACTTGTATCCCACAAGGTTACTGGAAAAATTAAATAAATCAGTACAAGTAAAAAGTCATTAGAACAGTGACTGGCCTATGGTAAGTATTCAATAAATGTTAGCTATTACTAGTCTTTTTGCTGTACAAATTGATTTTTCTCCTTTCTTTTCCATAAAAGGCATGTTCTAAAACTGAATACAATAGTAGACTCACACAAAAACATTTCCCATGTCTATAAATCAAAATTTAGCATATAGCCAGAATTCAGCCTAAGCTTGGTTATCCTGCTTCAAAGTGAAAGAATATATAACTTTTGTCCTGTTTTTGTCAAAAAGCTTCCAAGAAGATATAAAGATGAAACTAACTCGTAAGAGCTTTAGACAACTATGCGTTTTAATTATGCTGCTGCCAAGTTTCCATGTTTCTTTCTGATGGGAAGGTTAAAGATGTTCTTCTGTTAATGTGTTTTCTTTTTTAAAAAAATATTTTTGAACAAGAATTTTCAAACATAAAGTCTACTCAAACAGCATCTACTCAAAGCTCAATAAGTTATTTCTTACTCTTAGAAATAAAGACTATAGAAATTGCAACAGAAAGAAAAAAACTCTAAGTGTGTGTAGATAAACAGGCACATCTAAAGCATTTCATACACTTTCACATTTAATACTTTTTTAAAAAAACAAGGTACAGGCTGGGCACGGTGGCTCACACCTGTAATTTCAGCACTTTAAGAGGCTGAGGCAGGCAGACCACTTGAGCTCAAGAGTTTGAGACCAGCCTGGGCAACATGGCGAAACCCTGTCTTAAAAAAAAAAAAAAAAAATTAAAATTAGCTGGGTGCAGTGGTACATGCCTCTAGTTTCTGGGGGGCTGAGGCAGGAGAATTGCTTGAGCCTGGGAGGACGAGGCTATAGTGAACCATGTTTGTACCACTGTACCCCTGCCTGGGTGAGAAAGTGACACTCCATCTCCAAATTAAAAAATAAAATAAAATAAACTGTCTCCTTAACTGCTAGTGGTTTACATAAATTTTTTCAAATCATTATTATAATGTTCTGGCTAATAAAAAATTCCTTCATAGATTTTCCTAAGGTAATAAAGATTTTCACTAAACATTATATAATGTGTATAAGTAATGATGCCATAAACATTTAGATTGGGAACTATAAAAGACAGTTACAAACTCATGAGCACAATAAGATCAAAGACCGTATCTGTTAAAAGGTCCTAAAGTTGGCAATAAACCAGGTAATTCTAGTAACTGTATTTGCAAAAGCTTACCTTATGGGCCCATACAAAATGCATCAGCTGGCTGTGATGAATCAAAATTCTCAATATTTATTTATCATGTTAAACATCAAAAGAAAGTTACAGTACAAAAAACACACATATACATGCCTCTTATAAAGTTAATTTTCTTTCTCTTTCAACTGAGATACAGATTCAACATTAAGCAGTCCTGCTTAGAGCAGTCTCTAAGGAACTATGTACAGTGAGATAATATCACTTTAAATAAATATCCTTAAGTGTACCTTCAGAAATAGCAGAAGGTTTCCCTTCCTTCTCTCTACCTTCCCAACCCCCAGTGAATACTTTGGCTGGCTGAACTTAACTGAATCAAAAAAAAGCACATTTGGCAAGAAGTCAGTTTACTAAATGATTTAGGTGCCTTGGGATGGAGCTAGAGAAGAGATTTAAGGATAGGGGACGTGGAGGGTATGGGTGATGCCAAGTGACTCAAATGAGCAAGTGAACGTATTACTTTCTTTTGACACTAATGGAACTTTGCAGAGAGTTACACAGCCTCCAGGTGGCAAGGCAGAAGATGCTCAGAGCATCGTGTCCACTTGGGAAATTAAGCCAAACAGGCAAGACAGAAGAAACAGCACAGCAGGATCTCCTTCTGACTCCAGCAGAGGCCCCAGCAACAGCTGCTGTTGATATTCCAGCTTGCAGTGCCAAGCCACTACAGCACCAACTGCCTTGACTTCCAGGATTCACATTTAGAAAAAACAACTGCAAGAGAAATCCGCAGCTTGCATGTGGTTCTTTGCCAGTTCAACCTAACAATCAATCCATTCTTAAGCTACTCTGAAATTTCACAAGCTAGGCTTTCAAATTAAGGATGATACATTATTCTAGCCTTATCCCTAACAAATCAGTCTTTCAATTATTTATTAGACTATTCTCCAAGAAGTTCTGCCTCACACTGACTCACGTAAACAAAACAGATATTAGCAAACAGCAAGAGCTGATAGTCACAAGATTACCAATACTACAATACTAGATGTCTTGAGGATCAATTTAACAGTATTAAGTACACATGAGAAGCCTTTAGGGGAAAAGGCGAGGGACAGCTGGCGTTATTTCACTGCATAAGAAACATCTGAGGAAACTATGGTTTAAGGCAGTATTTCCCTAAGTTACGAGAATGGTAGCGGCACATGGCATGGTTTTTGAGGACAGGTGGAAGAAAATCTGCACGTGCTTCCTGCTGAGACCACCCAGAATATTCATATTGCCCTGTCTCCCTGGATGGCAGCACCATGCAGGGAAGTAGCTGTGAGCCAGCAGCACAAGGAGATGTCTGCACTCTGCCGTAGCACCAGGAACATCCTGAACATAATCTTTCACAAATCAAAGCTGCACAAGAAGACCGGTAGCTGCTGAGGACTAGGGAATGCCTGGCTTTTCTTCAATGCGAGGCAGCTCACCCGCAGGGCAAGGCTGCAGGACAGAGAGGAAAAAAACAAAAAGTTGTTTTAATTTCATAGAGTTTCTTAGAATTCCTTCTTCTGAGGTGAAGGTCAGTACAAGCGCCAGCACAGGGGGAATACAAGTTGGTGATTTAGTCTTTTTTCACTCCACCCCGTCAAAATATCTTAGACCTGTATTAAAATCTTACGTTATGTTAGTTATGTTTGGATAACTGACTACAACTATATAGGAGTTGAACTGATTAAAAATGAAAATGATGTAAAGCCTGATCCTCACCTTAAGCTGAGAGTGAGCTGAATATCCCGTGTATATCTGACTATGGAAAACAGAACCATTCTAATTAAAGGACCTTTTTTGCAGATACTGTATGCATATTTTGCAAATCAAATGAATTCCATATCATGTGTATTCACTAGGGATTCTTTTGCTTCAATTTCTAAAATTTAATAGCATAGTTATTGTCATTATATTTAGTCTTACTATTACCCACTAATGTTAAATAATACCTGTTTTCCATGTACAACAGGGATATCATGTTTTTCTTTTAAAATAAGTGGAAGTTTAAAAAAAGTAAGTTGGGTTAAATAAAAATATCAAGTCAAGAACAATAGGCCAGGTGCGGTGGCTCATGCTTGTAATTCCAGCACTTTGGGAGGGCGAGGCAGGCGGATCACCTGAGGTCAGGAGTTTAAGACCAGCTTGGCCAACATGGTGTAACCCTACCTCTACCAAAAATACAAAAATGAGCTGGGCGTGGTGGCAGGTGCCTGTAATCCCAGCTACTCAGGAGGCTGAAGAAGGAGAATCGCTTGAACCCAGGAGGCGGAGATTGCAGTGAGCTGAAGTCGTACCACAGCAGGGCAACAGAGTGAGAATCCATCTCAAAAAAAAAAGGATAATATACTTAGTAAAGAGATATGAATGGAATTCTAAAAGTGATAAGTAAATGACTCAAGTTGGAGAAATCAAGCTTTAAGTGAGATAATTTCACGCAATCAGTGCTTCTCTCTAACAGGTTTCATTCATATCGGGCATCTGATGTGTTCGCGACATGAAGGAGTAGGATGACCTATTTTCCAGTTAGAGTTAAGGGAAAACAGATGACTTTCCAAGATTCAAAGTCTTATTTTAGTTAATGGCAGAAAACAAATTTAAGTAACCACTCACTTATTGCTACTGCTCCCTTTATAGAAATCCTTGGGGTTTAATGACTTTTTTAAAGTAGAACAAGTGCTACTGATTTATCTTTTAAGCACGCTGGCAGCTTGGTTTGGATGGGAGATAAAGGAATTTTCCTTTCACTGGGATATACACAGAATTACAAATAAAGTGGGCTCCAAGGGAAGGAGTAAAGAAGACGAACACATGAATGTATGTATAAGTCATATTAATAAACTACTATCACAAAGGTCAGTTCAGCGCTTCTCAAAATGTGGTCCATAGGCTCCCTTTCACAGAATCACTCAGGAAGATTGTTTAAAACGCTGATTCTTGGGCCCTACCACAGACACAATGAGTTAGTGAGAACCCAGGAAGATGCTTTTCTCATAGGCTTCCCAGATGATTCTTAAACACAGGTTGATTACTACTGATTTAGTGTAGTACCTTAAAAAAAAGTGCCAGAAGGCAAACAAAACAGTACCAAAAATCAATCTGAGAGTTTGTTTAGATGTAGGCAGGTCATTTCACTGCATCTGTGGACATTTCAATTGTCCCACAATTATATCCTACTCAGAAAATCCCCTGAAACTAGATCCTGAAGTCCTCTAAAATGCACGAGTACTAACAGGTGTTTTTATGACAGAACTTCCTATTGATATTCCAGAAGGTAAACCACTTGTGATGAATCTGGGAGGAAAAACTAAGAGGAACGTCTAGTTATTTCTCAAAAACATTTAGCCACTAAAAAGAGCTGTACATTTTTCTTTTTCTTCTCTGTTGCAAACAAGCCCCTCCCTAGTAACAAAAAATAAGGGGTAAATACTCTGTAAAAGAAATAATACTGATTTAGTAATATGTCCATTCTGCTGTAACATGCTATTTTATCAAGAAGTATATTTTAAAACTGAAAGTTACAATGTTTCAGACTATATTGAAATTATTTTTCTTGTGTGGATTTTAATAACAAATATCTCTTTAATAGCCACATTAAACTAAAATATCTAGGTATTAGTAAGCAACCAAGCTATTCCAAATGGGATTACATCTAGATTTCATGGATGAGCTCAGAAGCCTTTCCGACACACTCGATTTCTGGATAGAAAAGTTTAATATTATAAAGGCATCAATTCTCTCTTTAATTAACATACATAATTCAGTAAGATTTTCTAACAAAATAACAGTGAGTTTAATTGAGAAAATAATAATAAAATTTATCTTCCAAAACAAACCTGGAAATATTTTAAAAGAAAGACTAATAAGAATTACCCCTATCTAATATTCAAATATTTTATAATACTATCCTAACTGACAGAATAGCCCAGGAATGATACCTAATATTTATTGAGGTCATTTTAATATGTATTCAATACATAAATATATGATATAATATTTATCAGGACCATTAAATGTATTTAGTAATGTAATAATCATAAACTACTTAATGAGGGAGATACTATTGTTCTTTCATTTAACATATGAAGATATTGAGGCATAAGATTAAGTAATTTGCCCAAGGATACACAGATACTAAGCAAAGAAGCCAAGATTTGAAGCCAGATAATCTACAACTTGCTTTCCTAACCACTATAGCACTATACACTAAAATGCCTCTCTTAGACTTCAACACAAGATGAATTGAGTATATAAGGATGCTATTTTAAAATAGCTGGATAATATGGCTTATTTAATAAGCAGTGTAGGGACAAATATTCAAACCATTTGTTTTGGTTTTCTCTAAAAAGCTATTCTCACTATATCCTTCCTTTCACAATAGTAATTTTAGATAAAGATTTTAAAGTAAAGGAATAAAAGCATAACAGAAGAAAGCATTTTAAAGAACCTTAAATGGGAACTTTCTAAAACATTAAATTCACAATCCAAAAACTAAAAACTGATAGCTTCAAGATAACAATTTAAAATACATGAAGAGCAAACAAAAAGAACAAGCCAAACCAGAAAAGCAGTATTTGTAACATAACCCACACAGGCTAATTTCATTCATCTACAAAGACTCCTTATATATGAATAAGAAAACGACAACTCAAAAAAAAAAAAAAAACCAAAGAATTTTATGGTATGTGAATTATATCTCAATTTCTAAAAAGGACAAAGTACCTCGAAAAGCAATTCATGGAAACAAACACAAATAGTCAATAAACACTCCAATATATGATCTTCCTCATCCTTAATGATGTAAAAATTAAATAACATTTTTTAACTTTAAAGCAGACAAAAATTAAGACATTTGTAATATCCAGACAGATTAAGATCTATACCATTTCACACTGAAAGGAACCAGAACTTCTTTCAGAGATTTCAGGTCTGGAGCAGAAAATTATCAAATGATCCTGGAAAAACTTGTCTACCACAAAGCAAAGAAGCTACCAATCACTACTAGTGTACTGTCCAAAGGACATGGGGTCTACTTGAAGGAGCTCCTACTGACCAAAAATGGGATTTTTTTGAGCATTATAAAGAGTAAAGACAGCAATGGACTGAAACATATAAAAAACAGAATGTACAAAAGCCATCAGTCACTACCTTTACAAATTACTAGGGCACAAATTCATTAGTCTTGAAATTGATAAAGGGAAAGAAAATTAAACATTTATCTGTCTTTCCTATATGAACTAACTAAATACTTGATGAAGGACCAAGTTCTTTAGTGAAAAATTCCAATTAGTAAATGCAGAATAATAATAGAAAGTCACAAATTCTCTAAAGATAGACTGAGTCCTCTGTCCCTGGAGAAAAAGGATATAGCAAAAATATCCTTTGGAACTGTGGGGTTTTTTTTTTTTTTTACAATAAACATTTAGTATTTGTACATGTTTCAAAAACTGAATTATCTTTTCTATCACAATCATTACCATCATTAGCAAATGAATGCTTTTTAATCCTGTTTTTCATCCTTTCTATCAATATTATAAAAAAGCAGATAAACCCTATAACAAAGCAGTTATAGTATACATCAAAGTCACTTTTCCCTAAAAGCAAGGTTCTATTTCCCAATGACTTCTATTTTCTAGCAGAAATCACACTACCAATCACCAACACTAGAGCAATATAAATTGATTTCTTTATCTATCTGTATATCCTATACGAAGTACATGCTAAATTCAGTATAAGGAATGATCAAATCATATGTACCTAACTGGTTTACACTGGAGCCTAGGCATAAACTATTAAAGCCTTCCCTCATTCTGAAAAAGAAAAGGGTCAGAAAGCAGCTACACTCCTACAGATGAGACCAACAGAATGCTTACCCGTATTTTCCAAAGAGCGAAACCGTTGTTCCTCCTACAGGCACTGCTTTTCCAGGTCCATACACATCCCATATGGTGAGCGCCACTTGGGCATTCCTGGGCAGGTCAGGGTATTTTACTGGTAGTTTCAGCCATTCGTTCCAGCTATGGAAATAAAGTTAACATAAATCAGAAATATATATATGTGTGTGTGTGTATATATATGTGTGTATATATGTACGTAGATGAATAAACGTGTGTGTGTATATGTATATAGATAAACCCTCTATATATTTATGTAAATTTTCTTATACATTTAAACTTCACACTGTATTCGATAATTTCAACCCTCTTCAAGAGAAGCTGGCTTTTAAATTCCAAAAGAATACTGTGCCAACATTATACAAACTATTCCCTAGCAGACACATAGAATTCTATTTCTGTTTAGTCAAAATTATTCTGTTCATTCAAAGTTATTATCTAAGGGACATATCCTAGTCTATGTTAAATACATCTGTATTGATAAAACATTTAACAAAATTTCCAAAAACTTAAACAACAAATCATTTATATATGCCATATAAATTAGGGATGGCTATCAATTTCAAGAAAAAGAGTTATTAAATCCTTTTCTTCTACGAAATACTTTTTTAAAAAAATCACATGCTTAAGAAAGCCAGTATCTACTATAGATAGGCTCAAACAACTAAATGAAATTATTTAATTACTAGCCACACGGTAGGGCAGGCTAAAAAGAAAAACACTAAGCAGTGCCATCTTTTGCCAATGAATAAACCACACACCAGCTAAAGTTAAAGACAACAAGAAGCAATTTCTTTTTGGAAAATATTGTGATATTTCTTATTCTGTCCTTTAATGACAACGAGACAATACCAATGACCAACTAATCATTTGTCTCAAACCTTTTGCTATTCAACACCAGGCAACAACACCTCTTTCAATCAAAGCAACTGCACTTAATCTGTTTTATATACTAGCCTTCTGCAGAAGAGTTCTTTTGAAAAAAAAAAAAAATGATGCTATTTTGGAAGGCCGAGGTGGGCAGATCACTTGAAGTCAGGAGTTCGAGACCAGCTTGGCCAACATGGTAAAACCCCCGTCTCTACTAAAAATACAAAAAAAAATTAGCCAGGCGTGTTGGCGCGCCTGCAGTCCTAGCTACTTGGGAGCCTGAGGCAGGAGAATCGCTTGAACCCAGGGGGCAGACATTGCAGTGAGCCAAGATCATGCCACTGCACTCCAGCCTGGTGACAGAGTGAGACTCCATGTCAAAAAAAAAAAAAAAAAATCCTTCAGCTAAAAACTTTGAAAACTGTTCCAGATATTCTAGAAGTTATAGAAAAATCTAGTCAGACACCAAAAAGGTATATATTTTGGACACTACTTTGTTTTCTTCCTCTTCATGCAACCCTATACCATCCCTATCCCATCTGCTAACCCTCATTAACCTTAAGATTACATTCACCTGGCAACAATCAAAACATTACAAGATTGCAAAGCCTAAATCTGGATGGTCCAATCCCCACCAAGTACCCCCATCACCGCATACCACTGTGCTAGCACTCGAATCTAATTAAAATACTTCTGTATCCTAACTTTGTAATTTTTGAATTAGATGGTATTAATATGTCTCTCTAAAGCCATTTTCAAAACCTTTATGAGACAATGTGAAATATAAGCGTTCTTAAAAATGTAAACTACTTCCCTGAAGAATAATATTCACATAAGAAAAAACTTAGAAATTTGCAGTACATACACCTAAAGATGAGAATTTACCTTAAGTGTAATTAAAGAATGTACAAGTGTCCCTCATGGGATCTGTTAGTGTAGGACAAAACAGGACATGCTATGATAGACTTGAATAAATTTTGAATGAGTTCCTCATTATTAGAACTCTCACAACCCACTATCAGAAAGTCAGAAATCAAACAGATTTAAATCTCATACTGGCCCTAAAACACAATCTGAACTAAGGAATGCAAAAATTTGGACAGCAAGAGATCCCTTTATGACCTAATTTATTCTTTCCAAGGTTTATACAGTATCTCTTTTAAGCAAATACTTACAAATAATAAGGACTATTTAAAGTTTTCACCTCCATTCATTTTAGGATGGCAATTTTTGTTTGGATGAACTACCAATAAATTCAACTTCTGAACACTAAAGAGCAGGATGTATAAAATGTGCAAATGTTTTCTCCTAGTCTTCTAAAGACTATTTTTTTTTTTTACTTTATTTTATTTTTATTTTTGAACAGAGCCTCGCTCCGTTGCCCAGGCTGGAGTGTAGTTGCTCAATCTCGGCTCACTGCAACCTCTGCCTCCTGGGTTCCAGCGATTCTCCTGCCTCAGCCTCCCAAGTAGCTGGGATTACAGGTGCCTACCACCATGCCCAGCTAATTTTTGTATTTTTAGTAGAGAGGGGGTTTTACCATGTTGGCCAGGCTGGTCTTGAACACCTGACCTCAGGTGATCCACCCAGAGAGTATTTTTTTTTAAAGTCTATTCTCATGGTATTTTACCAAAAATAAGGTGTTTTTCTAAATCTATTGTCTACATAGCTTAGACATTTTAATTTCAAAGTAGTTTTAAATAATTTTAAGTACTTTCCTTATTAAGTACTTTCACAATTTAAAAATTACAAATTTTTAAAATTCAAACTTTTAGAGATCAAACATGGGAGTTTTCACATTCTTGCAAATATATAATATAAAATTAATGCAGAGAAGAGTTGGCAAATGGGAGGACGAGGAGAAAACCTTTCATCTTTTAATTGAGAATTTGCTTTTGCTGTAATCTCCTTTTTTGTCAAGTCATGCAACAAAACCCACCATACATTTTTCCTCACCAAAACGTTTTTGACTTTCTAGACCTAAATTTGTTTTAACTCTTTTGTGAGTAATAGGTGACCTCAAAAATCTAATTAAAGCTTTGAGCTCTGTCCTTGAAAAAATACAGAAGACACAAAATTCTGCATACACCTTCAGGGGTTTGAAGACTTCCTGATTCCAGTTTAAGAATCTCTGATACAATTAAGGAATTCGGCTCCATTGTTTTAAATGTGATGATGATGGTACTATAGTTATGCTTTAAAAACAGATATACAGAAATACTTACAGTTAAGTTGTTATAACGTTTGAGATTTGTTTCAAAATGGTGAGAACACAAGATTGGCCATGAGTTAACACTAGGTATATAACAGAAACGTAGGCGTTCACTGTATTATTCTATGTTCACAGGTTTAAAATTTTCCAGAATAAGAAGTATTAAGTATATAGAGACATATTTTTTACGTGTGTGTGTATATCTACATACACACATATCTCTCTCTCTATATATATATATATATATACACATAGATATATCAGATATATATAGAAACACAGATAGACTAGATAGACAGGCAGACAGATCTCTCTCCACAAAAGACTACTGAAGAAACTACACCATTAAAATATTTGGTTTTGACATAGCCAGATCACCAGAGTTCAGGCTTCTGCTCTCTGAAAACCCTTTCCAGCCACACTTGGTGACGCCTGGGACACACAGGGTTGAACCCTCTATGGCACAGTCTGGCTGTCCATGTGGTCACATCCTGTCTCCCAAGGAATACGCTTTCCTTAAAAGCATACAGCCTGTGTATCCTGCACTGAGCCTACCAGAGTGCTGAATAACACTCACTCATTAAACATCAGAACTGCACTATATAGTCTATCAAATAAGAAGTGTCAAGAAGTCATATTAAAGATCCACAGTACTCTTTTGAAAAAACAGGAACTTCATGTTCATCATATTTACCCTGCATCTTGACAATGTTTTGCTAATGTGCCATGCTGTATAAACCATGAATCTAAATAAATTAGTTTCATATGTAAAATAATAATAAAAATTTTAACTGAACAGATGGCAACAGAGCTATCTCTAAAGATCTGAGCTCCAAACACCAGGTTGGACAATATTTCAGACTATCCAGAAGTATTTATGCGTTCAAGAGCAGAAGATGGTAAAATGCCACAGATGTGTTTGGTCATGTAAATCAATCAACTGCTTATCAAAATGTCGATATGCTAAATACAAACATAAATCCATTTCCATTTCAACTGCAGTTATAATACTGATATGCATAGTACTTTATCTGAGTATGTTTCTACTTCAAATGATTTGATCAATGCCTATAGGTATTAAGAAATTCTTCTATAATTCTACTAAATTATACTGGCAGCATCCATAAAGAAAGGTAAGAACAGTCTGGAACATACCATAAGCCAGAAAAAAACTTACTTCCATCTTGTACTAAATGCTTTGTAGGATGTTCTCACTGGCAAGGCCAAAGGCTTCCCTTCTGCAAAAACCTGACAAGTAACATAAAGATCCGAGCATGTCTCTTGGTATAGTCCTGAAAACTTCAACATTGGGTCTTCTAGGACAGCTTTATAACTCTTTTGTTCTCTCTTCCCTTCCAAGCTTCCTCTGAAAGCACAAGAGCAACAGTGTTTTGGACCTGAATTTTTTAAACATGTACATATATGCATAAGAACTAAGCACATACATATATGCTTTAAGCATGTATACATATGCATAAGTATAAAAAGAGTTTACCTTTGTGTTAAGGTATGCTACTTAAACAACATTTTCCTGTATATGCAATTAATGTCATTTTTATATATGGCAAGGGTTTCTTAAAATCCTAACATACCTAATATCAGTCCTATCTTCATCAACACATTTCTCTATTTTATACTTCTGAATTTTAAACCCTGCCACCAACCCTTGATCTACCCTCCAGAAGTCACCAGCTTTCTAGACCTTGGTTTCATTGTCTTCATTTCAAGTTGACCACATATTCATCTGTTCTTTCAGGAAACATTTACTATCGTGGGCATAGAAGTCCAGAAGAAAGAAAAGATAAACAATACAGTATTACAATAAAATACTAAGTCATTGCTTCTGGAGAGAAAAATTTACTTTTACTTTTAACTGCATGTTTTTATTCTACTCTTTCCATTTTTTTTTTTTTTTTTTTTTTTTTTTTTACTATGCATATGCACTGTCTGATCATTTCTTTAAAAAATAGTGGTGTAAGTCATAAAAGATACGCACAGGATACTATCAGAGGGAGGAACATTTTTTAGACATCAAGATTACATCAGATACTGTGCCAGAATTTTATATTTTCTTTCTTACATAATTTTCACCATATTCTCATTTTATAAATGAGGAAACAGAGACTTATAAACTAAACTCATTATCCAAAGTCACAAAGTAACAGAGCTGAGAATAACCACTAGGGCAGGGAGGCCAAAGCCAATATTCTTCCCATTACAGCAAGATAAATCAGAGTCTCAAGAGTACTTAGGCTGGCGTGGGGAAGGGACTTAGTACCCCAGATAGATGTCTGAAATGATCCTGAACAATGCATGAGAGTTGGAGCAAAAGATGCAGAACGTCATCTCAAAGGGAAAGGCAACAGAGCGAGACCCTGTCTCAAAAAAAAAAAAAAAAAAAAGGACCGGCTTTTTGGTTTTTCTTTATTTTTAATGTTCAAACATTTCAAAAAATGCATTCGTATATTCAAGAAATACTGAACATCAAGCTGAAGGAAATCCCTTGATCAATACTGATCCTGTATAAACTACTAGTGGTGTATGCTATGGAAAATACCTTAAATGGCTGTATAAAGTATCATACAAAGGTACAACGTGGTTGTTGACATATTACTTTTACCACCATCACCACAAACTAAAAAGTAAAGGATTCGTCAGCGAATAAGGGACTTCTGAAAATAAAATGAAACGATCATTCAAAGGTACATCTGACAACTGAGAAAATTTATTTATCACTTACTGCAGGCCTTTGACCAACACATATTTGTTGAATATTAACTGAACATACACAAGAAATGTTTATTAATTATGGATGATGCTGTGGTCAATAATTTGTGACAGTTTTGACAACACTTCTATATGACCACCTTAAAAGAGATATAATTTCCAACTCTGTTTTGTCCGTCCCTCGTCATTATACCAGTTCCATTATCCTCATCTCAAGATATCACGCTCCTGACCTTTACTTCAGCCGTGGTGCCCCAAAGTTTTCCTGCAACGACTCTTTCCTCCTATCTTCTTGGTACCCTTGCAACTGGCACCCTCATCTTTGACTTATTCCCAACTTCCCTGACTAAACACTGCCATACTACCCAAAGATTCACCCTAGGCCTCTATCACCTCCCGTGCTGCTAATATACCATGTGCTCATCTTATTCTCGACTATCGCATCTGATTGTGCCTACCTCTCCATAATTTCTGAAGCCTTCATTCCACCCTACAAGCCCCGTTCCAAAATAAAGATCGTCCTCTTACTTACGAAGAGGATCGATTTCTTAATTTACAATAAAATAGTAATAAACTCTCAAAAGGCTGAACAGCAAAAACTTTAAAGACTGTAAAATACAGTGGAACTTAAGGGCTATTCCTACTGCTGTGCTTCTCACAGAGACCACGTATTAAATCCTTTTCCAACAGAGCCCCTCTCCACGATCCACTCTCTCGCGCCTCCCCGGCTACAGCCCTCCCAGCCGCCCCCAGTCCGCGCCTTGAGACGAGTCACATACTTTCTCCCTCTCACTCCCAACAAGCCCCTATCCCCACGCCCCTACGTCCCAGCAATCCCACTCCCTGTCCCGAGGATTCTCTTACATCTTAAGCTGGACGTTGATATCCAGGTCACAACTGTAGATGTAGTGAAACTTCTCTGCTTCCCCCATCGCAACGTCGGCGAGGGTACGACCTATAGCGGAAAAAGTACAGGAAAGACAACAGAAATGAACCAGCTGAGTCCCACAACAGAGGAACTTCCGGTTCCGCCCTCGCCAGCACTCCTCCAATCCCAGCCTGGAGCGAGTTCCGACGCGGCGGAACTCCCAGCCGAAACAACTCTTCTGCGCATGTGCACAAGGCGCCCACCATCTTGCTTAAGGGTAAATGTATACGGGAAACGGCTTATCCGATTACATTCCAGTTTTCCTGTCTTGACAGCACTTTTTTTTTTTAAAGAAAAAGAGACGCTATCATTTGAGCTTGAGCTGTACCTAAAACAATACAAAAGAAAATTCAATTCAAAAAGAATTACAACAGCTTTCACTGGCTGCCGTCTAAACAGGTTACAAGCACAAAAATTGGAATTTTGCCAAGTTTAAATTCCAGTGGCCTTCCCCAAAATTGTAGCACTGATTTGCTATCGCAAGCAAGGATTTTCTCTTTCTGCTCTAAAAAATAGGGAAAGGACTAAATAGAGAACAAATAAATCTGAGTTTCATGTTTGGTGTTGTCAATATTGATGCTACTTTGGACGTAATACTTGCGTGCATGTTTAAACTGGGAATATTCAAATTCAATGTAGTTTCAAGCCCTAACCCAAGTCAGAACCTAGAGGCTTCCTGTAATAACTCTAGAACACAGATCTCTAAACCCTGTGAGCTCCTATAATGTTTATTTTTATAATTATTATAATCTAAAATTATAATATTCACTCCCAATTAGATTGAAAACTCTTGGAAAGTAAGACTAGTGTGCCATTTACTTCTGTCTTGCCCCCCTCACTGTCTAATACATTGCTGAGTTTAATACTTCCTACTAATTGGTTATTACTGATGATATTGAATGAAAGTCTCCATTTTCTATGCCTTTATTTCTTTTTTCTTTCTTTCTTTCTTTTTTTTTTTTTCTTTTTGAGATGGAGTTTTGCTATTGTCGCCCAGGCTGGCTTGATTTCGGCAAACTGCAACCTCCACCTCCCGGGTTCAAGTGATTCTCCTGCATCAGCCTTCCAAGTAGCTGGGATTACAGGCACCCGCCAGCCAGTCTGGCTAATTTTTGTATTTTTAGTAGAAACGAGTTTTCACCTTGTTGGCCAGTCTAGTCTCAAACTCCTGATCTCCGATGATCTGCCTGCCTCGACCTCCCAAATTGCTGTCTATGTCTTTATTTCTAAGTGCTGCATTTTAAGACAGACATCACTAGAGTATGTGCAAATTAGCGTAATTAGAATGTTGAAAGATTAGAAAAAAAAATATTTCAAAGAAAAGGTGAAAGGTGTGGAGCTGTTTAACCTGGAAAGGGGAAAAAAATACCTAATGCACAATGTTTTACACAAAATAAGTTCTCAAAAATATTTATGGAAGCAAGAAAAGGATTTGAGTAGAATAAAGAAAAACATGATAGTCATCCTCCTGTAACTTAAAGTTTAAACAATAAGAGAGCACCTTTGATTTGTTCCTAAGAATAACTGCCACCAATGGTTGGAACTTACAGGAAACGTAATTTCAACAAACAATACAAATTGAACTTTCTAATTATCAGAGCTATTCAACAGTAACACTGTTGTCACAAGTGCTCTGTTTAGGGCATAACTCCAGCAATGAGTGTGAGATTTGATGTGAAACCTCAATCTTGAATAAAATATTGACTATGTGTAAAGGACTAAATTATCTGATCCCAGTGGTGAATAAATTACTTTCACTATATAATGGTATTTAATGTATAAACCTAAGATAATATTATATACATATGCAACCAAACAAGTTTACAAATATAAAAACTTCAAATTAGCAATCTTAACATAATAGATAGTGAGCTTTTTACAGAAACTTTATTGCTTGTAAAATGATTATGGAATATAGTGTTGACTACTCTTACAGGACTGATTCTTTGAAATTCAGCACATCTATACTGCTGTATTCCACATGATAATTCATTTTTCTAGTCCCTTTTTTCTATTCAAATAACTATGAACTCTTCTTCTGCATAACCACCATGATGTATTCTGGCTTTATCTGGGCTACAACACATCTTTTTAAGCCTGACTTTGTCCTTTTCTCATTGTCTCATAACAAAGTAATACTGATTGTTTCCAAAACGGTTGCAAACACAACACAGATAAAAGCACGAAAATCAAATGTCAGTACTTATTTACAAGATACTCATTCACAGAACCCAAGACAGATTTAACTTTTTAAAGATTATCAAGAGAAAAAAATAACATTAAAAATGTAGTATGGAGGGATCTCAGAAAACTTGACTGTAATTGTATTAAATATGTTAATACATCAGGGAAAACTAATGTGCCAATAAGGAACAAGATTTTGGTAAGTCATGGAAGCATGGAAAGAGTTATTATAGAAACCAAAACTGTCAATGCCTTTTGTACCATAAGTCAGAGAAGTGTTGATTGGTAGATGTGAGTACCAGAATTCAATTAACAAGGCCATCTGTATAAGAGGAAAGGAAGCCTTAGGCAGCTTATTTTGAAAGGAGAGGAATGATTTTTTTCCTTCCCATGTGATTTTCACAAATCGTAAATATAACATACACTTATAATTATGGGATACAATTTGCATTGCAAGAGTCCACGGAGGCCTGTCTGCAGAAAAATAACTTATAGAAATAGGTGTTTTCCTGGTGTGGTAGGCTATTCCAATGATTATTATGTGATCCCATATTTAATTTTCCTTTGGAGTTGCAGTTTTGACTTTGTGCTTCTTTTGCCATCTTGTTTCAATTTCTGTTTTAATTATTCTAGTAACCAGTTTTAATGATGGCTTAGAAATGTGTTGATTGCGCTCCATTTGTTAAATTTTGTCCTCCTTTCTCTCTTTCTTTTTCTTTATCTTTCTTTCTTTCTTTCTTCTCTTTTCTTTTCTTTCTTTCTTTCTCTTGAATCAAAGTTTTGCTCTGTTGCCCAGGCTGGAGTGCAGTGGTGCAATCACAGCTTACTGCAACCTCAACCTCCTGGGCTCAAGCAATCCTCCCACCTTAGCCTCCTGAACAGCTGGGATTACAGGTATGCACCACTGTGCCTGGCTACTTTTTTAATTTTTTTGTAGAGATAGGGTCTAACTATGCTGCCCAGGCTGATCTCGAATTCCTGGGCCCAAGCATTCCTCCCTCCTCAACCTCCCAAAGTTTTAGTATTACAGACGTGAGCCACCATGCCCAACTTCCATTTCTTCAGTTGCCCAGGACTGACACAATGATAATCAGGTTTATTTTTGCCAGCTTCTATGACCCAATTTATTCTCTTTGCTTGGAATTTTTTTTAATGCACTTACAGCTTTACAAAGCAATCGTCTATTACTGAGCTCCCATCAAGAATAAATTAGTATGATACTGTGAGATTAAATATATCTCATAATTCCTTTTTTTCTAATTAAAAAACGCCTTTGTAAGTTTTCTAATAACTGTGTTTTAGAACTCAATCACGTAATAGAACAGACAAGAGTGCTAAGGCACTTGAAAAATCCTAACTCATAATTCAAAAGTCTTGGCCATGTCTCAGCTGACAATGTGAAAAAAGACGGGCTTAATGAATATCCATGAATGATCCTAATGCAGGAACCCCCAAGTCCTAGGCGGAGGGTCCATTCATAAAGGTAATTCATATAGCTGCAAAAGGGAAAGAATAACAGCGTAAGTTATTCTGAAAAATAATAAAATTGTATTTGCATATGTGTTCCTTTGTAATACCTCTGTTATATAACAACGAAGCTCCCCAGTCTTGGGCATTTCTTTATAGCAATGTGGAAATGGACTAATAATCTGAGTTTCTTACTGTGTAAGCAATAATTATGTTTACAAATTAAGCCACTTTCATTTTTTAAAAATCTTTCTGTTACATACAGCTGAAAGCATATAATTCCTAATACGATGTTAAAAGGCTTTTCATGTTCTGGCTCATGTGGCATTGTTCAAGCTCTCTAGACTTAGTTTAATCTGAATAATATCCTCTCTCTTATGCTATATTCAGATTGTGTCTCTATATTCACCTATGGTGGTATAGTTGATTCTTATTCCTTGTGGTAGATATATTCTGTAAAGTCACAGTAAACACTAAATTAGCAAATACTGAACTGCTGCTAGGGGGATATAGGATTATGTTCCTGCCAGTCTCTGCCAATAACATTTTCATTAAATAATAAATACATAAAGTTGTTTTCTTTGTCTTCATCTAAAGGCATTTTATTTAATATATATTGGTGATTTATTAACATTGAACTCATGCCCAACAGCACCATAACTCATGCGTGAATGAAGCCTGTATAACACAGTTTTTCTCCATAAGGCATATCACAGCTTCCTTGCACTTAGGAACACCAGAGAGCACTTCTATCACTGCATTTAGAGGATGTTTTAAACGAAATCACCCATGAAAAGCATAGAAATGCAATATATATGGCTGGGCACAGTGGCTCACACCTGTAATCACAACACTTTGGGAGGCCAAGGCGGGCGGATCATGAGGTCAGGAGATCGAGACGATCCTGGCTAACAACATGAAACCCCGTCTCTACTAAAAATACAAAAAATTAGCCAGACGTGGTGGAGGGCGCCTGTAGTCCCAGCTACTCGGGAGGTTAAGGCAGGAGAATGGCGTGAACCCTGGAGGCAGAGCTTGCAGTGAGCTGAGATTACACAACTGCACTCCAGCCTGGGTGGCAGAGTAAGACTCCGTCTCAAAAAAATTAAAAAAAAAGAAAAAAAGAAATGCAAATATATAGCATTGAATAAACCTCCCGAAATATACTTATTTATAGTATGAGAGCTGAAACAAGAAGGCAGAATCTCACCTTGTTTGACCTCAGCCGGGAACATGCACATCAGACTTAAATTTTTCGCTCTGCCTCTGTGCACATGTCCACAAATGGCCGCAAGTATTGATTTTGGGGTCACAAATAGATTTTAGTGAACAGTTGAATTCACAATTATGGAATCTGTGAATACTGAGAATCGACTATATTTATTCTTAGAGAGAAATGAAGAGCTCTCTAGACCAGTGTGCTTATGATTCACTAGGGAATCGACTG